CCTCCCCCGCCCCTCCGCCCCCCCAGCAGCTGAAAGAAAACATAACCTGAGAAAGTCAGTCTTGCAAAAAATTATGGAAATGCAGTCCAGGACAGGCTTGGAAAACAAACAAAGAGTCTTCAAAATACTCAACATTCACATGTAGTTTATGTAAATTTTAGAACCTCCTACTGGTTAAAGGCAAATTAAGAATAAAGACATTTTGCATTTCTGATAAAGGCAGGGCTTTTCTTGCTGTGTATTTGTATCTTAATGCTTTGCACTGCTGAACTGAAAGAAAAACCAAACCAACCCCAAATGAGTATCAACCTTTCAATGCAGGAAACCTCTCCAGAGACCCACTCAAGAGTCAACAACTAACCTAGAGAGGATTTACCAGCTTTGCAGCCTTTGTTTTTGCCATCGTGTCACACCACCCTCTTTGGACCCTCTTACCTTGACGCACTCTGCCGCAGTCGACAAGCTCTCTTTACTATCAAATACTTGCTTACTGAAGGCATCTACAAACATCCTCATGGAAGAGCGAGGCCGGAGTCCCAGCCGTTGTTACCAGCGAAGTCTGTCTCAAACTCTCTCGCTGTCTCCAGAAGGCTGGTGAAGAAGACATGGCAGAGCTTGTGGATGTAGAGCAGCGTGGCGCCCTCGATGCGCAGCTGTCGGATGGCTGTCTGCACCGCGGCTGCCCTGTTCTTCAGGAAGAGCTCACACGCCTTGGTGGACTGGCCCAAGCGAATGAGCTGGGACACGGCTCGGCGGGTGGCCCGTGGCCCTCCTCGCAGCGAGCGGTCTGGAGACAGCTCAAACACCAGCACATCCGTAAGCTGCCGGACCCGCTCATCCACCTTGGCCCGCAGCTCCTTCACGGGCTGGCTCACAGGCTTGTCCCCCAGGTACTCGTTGAGTTTATCCAAGAGGTCCACCGCCCCCTCGAAGTCCCGCTGAGCGATGCAGACGTCCAAGTCCTCTGGCAGCTCCTGGATCCACTCGAGTGAGAGGTCGACCACTTCCTCCTCAGCAGAGGGCTCTTCCTCCTCCTCGTCCTCCTCAAAGGGGTTGGTGGGTTCAGGGGGCGTTGGGGCAGGCCGGGGCAGGGCCTCCTGCTCCAGGCGTCGCTTCTCGCTGAGGGCCCGGTTGCGCTTGGTCTCCTCCAGCACCTCCAGCCACTCCTTCTTGATCTTGGCGTTCTCAGCCTGGAAGATGCGGCTCTCGGGGAACATGAGCAGCTTGAACATGTCCTTCATGGGCGGGTTGTCCTTGACATTGACCACAGCCAGCCCGTCGAGGGGGTAGAGGGCATCGTAGCGGTAGGCGCCGCGGCGGTTGGGCAGGGCGGTGGCCACGAGCAGGCAGTCGTTCATGAGGAAGGCGTGCACCCGCTGGATCTGCGCCATGTGGTCGGCGTCGTACTCCACCAGGTCGCCGTTGTAGACCAGGTACTTGCCGGGGCTCTCGGGCAGGAGGTCGCGGCAGCCCTCCACCTTCTCCAGGAGGGTGGTGAGCGTGCGCTGCCGCCCCTCCTCGCT